ACTGTTATTTTTAATGTTACTGCGGCCATTATCATTATCATTATAATCAACGACGCCGTGCATTAACCGGTCACTTGCAAACCTGACACGCACATGACATCGCGGGCGTGAGCTCGCGTTGTGGCGAGTCTCCCACACGACCAAAGATGCAGCCGCCATCCCAACGGCGCATTAGTTCCCGTAAAGGTAGAGAATAAGCGGAATAAGAAAGAAAAAATGCTACGAATGTTTTGAACCAATTCCAGGTGAAATATATTTCGAACCAAGAAAATGGTTGAATGACAGAGATATAAATGAATCTTGTTTCATTTGAAATATGTCGAAAACCAAATTGAATCGCAAAACATAAGGTACAGTTCTCAATGCATGACCAGATGTCATCCCATTTTTCGTGGTACCTACAACACAACTACTAAATTAATGTAACTTAATACAAACTTCTATTCTCTGTAAGTATATGTCGCTTTAAATACCAACAGGATATAGAGTTATAAATATATTATTGTGAAAAAAACTGTAATGCTTTTATTCTTTATAAAGCAGATATTTGGTAGTGTCGAGAGAACCAGGTTACTTTTTGGGCCCAACAGCACTATTGGGACACTTAATAAAAGCTTTGGATACTGTGAGTTTAAAATTTGAACCATTGGCAAATTTTTTTTGACTTCTAAATACATTAAATTCTTCAAATGGTAATTGTGGATCTCCTGTTCAAGTACTTTTGAGACTGGGTACAACCATAGACAAAATAATAAGAATGAAACGATTTTATCCAAAGGATAAATGGACTTATGTTTGAAAAATACCAATTAATAATTGCCATCATGCAAGTTAAATTGAAATTAAAGACACGTAACATTTTTAAGATAATTTTATTGATTCAAATATTTTTTCTTAAATTGTGTGAAATCATTGCAAAATATGTTACAATATGTTACATTTACAAAATATTTGAAGCTCCGTAATTAAACAATGTTCTAGATAGAAGCATTTGTCACATTGCGCAAAGTTTAATGCACTCATGTCAACATAGAATTTTAATTATGATTTCGAACAGTAATGTATTTGATGCAGGGCGTGCTGAGAAATATTCACTTCTGTAGAATTCATTTCTGCTCAGATTTCCAAACAGCATGGCCGAAAAGTGGCAGTGAATAAACGACTGTAAATGCAAGAAATAATTTCCGATCCAAAAGTTAAGCCCGGAATCTATCAAAATTGCGTCCGAAATAAATTTCACCGTAGTATTGTAACAAAAAGATACAGAGAGATAAGAGAGAAATAAAGAGCTGCATGTTGAATTAGGCTCATATATTTCCCAGAAATAAGTGTTTTGATGTCTTATTCCTAGCGGTTTTTCTGAATTGAAAATTTCTCATAAAAATTGATTCCCAGGAATACAACAAAAGAACGTACGTAGAATGTACGTTTCCGAACTCCAACCATTTTGCCAGAGAAATGTACATTTCCGTATTTGAATTGTTTTTATATTTACCTTGGATGTTTCCTGACTGATTTTCAAACTCCTTTAAATGTAGAATCTTTGATTAAATCAAAAGCCAAAACAGTTAAAACTGGGTGGCGTACTATGGGGAAAGTGTAAACTGCTGAGCATGGACTCTTGAGCTCTGGGATCTGCGTAAAGTTACTAGACATCCGTAAACATACATTTGCTGCTAACTGATGTTTAACTTTGGAGTAGGTGTTGGACCTCGAGTTTGGATCTCAATCTAGACACATCACAGATTTCCTTTACATTCTGATCATCATACATTTGTTTCTTTATGCACTGATTTATTGTGCAGTCAATTAATACATTAATTCGCTCTTATTCAATAAGAGGGGCAAGTCACCAAGTCAGTGGCGTCGTATTGGCGTCTCCAAAGTGTAGTCGCTTGCTTTCGGCGCATACACGGGTCTCTTTGATCAAACTTGAAAAACTTGCGAAAATCTGGGCTACGGCGTTGTCTCAGTTGACTGACCGATAAATGATTCCGGGCGCATCAACTGCCATGCCGTTAGTCCCGTAAGTGTACTGCATTTTTTTATCGCGGGAGGTGTCGGTGATTTTATTTTACTCGGTGGTGAGATCCGGCGCCGATCTACCTGTCGCATTGCGAGTTTTTTCCCATCAGGTATCTCCAAACAGGGGTTCCCGCCCCAGCCGAGACATTCTATAAGCTCCTGACTGCTCTCTCGACATGTGTAGGTGGCCCTCTCGACGGTGGCCCATTTGTGAAGATACAGCTCCGGCATTTGACTGGTCAACAGCAGTATAGCTCTGAAGAAGGCCACAGCAAGATGGCTGAAACGTCAGTCCAATTAACTGAGACGCGGCTCATCCCGGATAGCCAAGAATACATTGACTCTGGCCGCGGAAGCCTACGAACCCATTTGACTGGTGTTGATCGAAGAAATGACGGAAAACTACCTATCAGAGCACGCGGCTGCTAGAATACTCCACCAGACAGTGGCAGAACTCGACCTAGCTATGCGAAAACCCCCACACCGCCGAGACTCGAACCCAAGAATCTCCCGGTCCGAGGGACTGCAGTGCATCAGTTGATTCCCTGAGCCACCTAAGTCGCTGCGCCGCGACGCCTCGGGATGCGGGAGAAATGCCTCTGGCGGTGGTCGTCACCGGTGACGCCCGACGACACTTCCGCATCGCCCACGCCACGCGACGCTGACGTCAGCACGTGGCCGTTGGTGCGAAATCGCCACCCGACACACTCGACCCGAAGACGCGAACACGAAATGCCAATAATTAAAGGATATAAAAAATAACTTATGAACGTTTTGTTTCACCTTATTTGTTCCCTCCAAGCATTCTTCAAGACGTTTTCCCTGTAGTGAATTGTTATAACAAATGCCTAACAATTTGGGAAATACAGACAATTAATAATTATTTGAACATAATAACGATTTTTGCATAAACTCTTTTAAATCTCTCACATCAGACATCATGATCAATTATTGAAGGTGTTGGAAGGGGGGAAAAGTGGAGATAGATGCATTAAACTCGTGAACCAGCCTAGCATGTGCGACTCAGGTGGGTAATGTGGTTCAAAATATCGCGAGTTCGTGTCTCGGATGGGAAACGTTGGTGTTGAAATGGTATTCTTCATTAAATTTTTTTCTACTATCAAATCCACCTCTACATTCTGTGATCTGAGATTGTAAATGTCAACACCAAGAGAACACAATCGCTTTGGCGTCATTATATTTATGAGTTTGACATGTGTGTTGCAAAATTGCGTCAGTGCATTATCCTATTTATATTATTAATGTTCTCAATAAAAATAATTAAATATTATATTGTTTGATAAGCACATACTTCTATAGATCCCTTATAACTTTACTTGACGTGGAACACATAACACATCTACACTCTATTTACGAATCGAATACCTCCACGAAAGTGAAGTCAGTAATTTCACTCAAAGTCAAAATCATTTTCAATCTTTACGTTAAAACTTGCATTTAGATAACTCAAATACGAAGTGCACTTTCAAGGTTTTCAAAATCCGTAAACACTTTTCCTGGAAAAACCAAGGGATTCATAATTTCAGTCATAATATTTTAGATCGACATCTAAATTAATTATTGTATACATGCAAATTTCGGAAAGGCCATAAGCCACAGTTACCCCCATTTTCCTTTCCTAGAAATATCCCGCACGAAATTCTAGAAAGAAAACGTGTCCGAAACCCGACGTCACCCCCCCCCTCTCAGGAGCATCCACCGTCGCCCTACGGCCGCATTCCACGCCCGCAGCTTCTCACTTCGTGGGCTCGCCGGCCAATTTGTAAATCGGCGCCCAGATTTAGATGCAAATTATTTTTCGGAGGTTTTAACATTCTCGCGCTGGAAAGAGCAATCGGAATATTTCAAGTCCCGAAACGATTATTTCGTTTCTCCCAGTGAAAGCAATGGGGATTTCAAGGCGTTTTTTTCAAAGGAAGGAACATTTTTATTCACCGTTCGCTCGCGAGTGTTTGCCACTTTGTTTTCGTTGATGTGCCATTCATAATGGTACGTCGAAATGACTGTCTTATTTTCTGAGAAATTTGACTATAAAAACTAAAGAAGCAGATTTTAAGGAACGTATTGCTGTTATGAAACCCACGGATATTAGCACTCACAATTCACAAAACTGTAATTTGAATTTCTCATCAACTTACAACCCACGTATGGAAAAGTTTATTTTGTTGATTCCAATATTTACATTTCTTTGCCATTTGTAAGAGCTATTTCTCAGAATTTGAGCCAACACTTTTAGTTTATTAAGATTTAAATATTAGCAGAGGGAGCAGCATCAATGTAATGACGATAGTGAATATATTATAAGATGTAATTACGATCGCCTCAACTCAATTCTAGGTACTAAAAGTATTTTAATTTCCTGTAATAGTAATATATTGAAAAACGTGTCATAAGAATGTTTCCAATTTGCTAATGGAACACTAAATGCTTCTATCTGAGCCAATGTCGCACACTATTTCACATTAAATCTACTGAAAATTAAAAGCTTTCACTTTCCATTGATGTTAAAGGCAGCTTTATTTTATTAAAACTTTTTATACGAATATGAATAAAAGTTATATTTTTTCTTATTAGCAATGTTTGCGTTGTCTGACGCAAAGAAAATATTAATAAAACGAATTAACTAACGAACGTTACGATTAGTTATGTAAAATAAATAATTTTCTTTTTATAATTAAACTAACATTTTCGCATCGCTAATGAAGGCTGCAAACGGTTTCAGAAAACTTATATTTTTAAAATTCAGAAATTATCTCTTTTAAAAGACTGTATTTCAACATAATCTGAATATAAACACGAAGCGAATGTAGAAAGAAGTCGATGACGTGTTAAAAAGGTTTCCTCATTAATTGTGTACTTACTCATCCATTTATTTAGGTTATTTAACTTAAACAATTTCCTTATATATCCTTACAAAGATTAACTTATAATTAATATTATTTTTAATTACTCACCTTGTGTATCGGTAAAGTCTCCAAGGCTTTACACCCTAAAAAAACAGATTCGGTAAAAGTTTTAAAATGATACAATTTAATAAAATGAACATATTACAACCTACTACTAAATATAAACAACCTGCATATGAATTCATCAGAATGAAAAGAACAAGAGTCATTAATACCAAATTTTACCAGAGAAATAAAAAACATTTTGTTATTAACAGTTATGATTGAAACTATTGATTTTTTTCTAAAATACAAGAAGATACATCTTGTCTTTAAATACAAAAATATTGTACTTTTCATTACAAAATGTAATTAATAAAATTTCTGGCTTACATCACTATCAGGAATAACTGATCAATATGAATTTCTGAGTTCATTAACACGTTTATTTTATATCGGTGGAATGACAAAACAGGCAATATTATTTAACAATGAACGTAAACATATCTTCGACATATTTACAATTGATTGATAGTTAGTGATTTTGGGCGCGTCAACAGCTAAGGTGATTAGCCCTGTAAGTATAGTACATGTTTTTGCTCGGACGGTGGTAGTGATCTTCCCCACTGGATGGCGAGATCCGACGCCATCTTACCGTTCTCTGGAATGCTTTTCCCAACCAGGTATCTCCCACCAGCGGGGCACCGCCCCAGCCGGGACAAGCCCTAAGCTCCCGACATGACGGGTGTCCCGGCATGTGTGGAAGTGTAGTGGATGTGAGTGTAAGGGATGAGGATATGACACGAAAAAGGAAAGTAAGATAGAAATGAGTGTAAGTAGTAGTGTTAGTAGTGAGTGCTGACCATGGCCCATTACTTTAGGATACTTCTCCGGCATTCTCCTGGTGTTGATCGGAGAAACCATGGAAAACTACCGATCAGAGCGGTCGGCCGCTAGAATTCTCCTCCAACAGTGACTGAATTCGACCTAGCACACAAGCTGGTGTCGAAAATCCTGCCGCTGTAGGGAGTCGAACCTAGGACCTCCTGGACTGAGGCACTGCAGTGACATAAGTTTATGCCCTGAGACACCTCTTCCGGTGACGTTTTAGGAGGAATCTTCATCATTATCTGCTGTTGTGGAGAGTCATCTCGTCTCATTCACGAAAACATGAGGTTCATCAGGGGTGTACTTCATATACTCATTCATATTCATACTGTCATATTCATATTTATGGAACAAAGTATTCCTTTCTTGCAGGAATAGTCAGATTTTGATGGAAATGAGATTAATGTAGATAAAAACAGTGCGTCATAATTTCGTCAATGTATCCACCATAGACTGAACAAAGCCCGGTCTTGCAGGTGAATATTAAGATTTTTACGTACAAAAATTATCAAAAACACTTTCCTTTTGCCTCTGGGCAGAGCCAGTGTTCCTAAAGAGGTTACATTTTTGCTTTGTATCTATTGCTGGCGCAATATAGGGACAATATTGTAATGTTGCGCCGAAAACGGCAAATTTTCGACAAAAAAACTATTATTGCCAAAATTTTGTAACAAAAATAAACAAATCTTGTTCCTACAAGTAGTAAATTACTTCCCTCAAGACGTAATGTAGTCAGAATTTACGTTGGATGCGCTCTTGATACAGAAAAATCGATTGACGGGAAAAAGTCTGTCCATCTGTCCATCAATCCGTACGTCCGTCCATTATATTTTGATCCTTTTTTTAAAAATGTAGAAAATTACTCCGAAAAAATTATAACTTCAGGTTGAATACAAACCTGAAAAAGCAGTTTTAATGTTTTAAATATAAAGATTTCATGTTCATTTTTGTTTCTTGAAAATTGTTTACATTCACTTGCTATTAAGGCAGGCATTTTTAATATATTGCAAGTAGAGCCGGAATAGTAATAGTCTTTTATCACCAAAATGAAAATGATAACAAAACATTGTCGATATATTTCACGTTTGGTCATACACCAGGAAGTTCCCCTAGAAGTTTATCGAAGAGCATACTTGCAAGACACTGCAAATCGTTGTATGGTAAATGCAGCCTAATATAAATCGAGTACTTACTGAGAAGCCCGTTAAATCCAAAGGACCAGTTTCAAAGACAAATGGAGTTGAATGTGGTCGTATTTGCGTAAAATATTTTTTTCGCAGGTAGTTTAGTACACAATTCTATGGCTGTTTCCTACGCAAGCCACATAACTCACTGTCTGCAATCAGCCATTAGTCATCCTCTGCATCCGGGATGCCCCACAACAGCACGTTAATAGGAGTAATAAACGCTTCTAGGAAGGTCCCACACAATAGTTTGAATGTTACACAATTATATATAACCACGAAGCTGTAGAATTCATCAGTGAAAACTGTGTGCGTTTCTAGCCTCCCACGGGATGGTGAACTGACAAAATTCTCATGAAAATGTCAGTGAAAGTGTTTAAGCAAAATGTCCTTACTTTTTAGAACACAACGTTTAAGACAGTTTACATAGTTGTGTAAAATCAATATTTTTTAATAAACCGACGAATTTTGGAAAATTAACCCCATTGTTAACAACTTTACTTTATTACAAAGTCTAAATGATTTCGGACATAATCGGATATCAGTAATGAGATGTTATGTTTTGTGCTCGAGATGACATTCAAACTTGAAAGCATATAATATCTCCCTCGCATTGTGAATGATTAAATCTGATCTCTAATCAACGTTTCAAAACTGTTGGTAAACCTATTAAAATGTTTAATCATACAATGACTTGAAAACCTAACCAGCAGAGTGATATTCGTAGAAAAGTAATGGAAAGAGACACTGCTATTACTTTCATTACAATGTAAAAATATTTAAGATCCATGAACTCTTCACAAACTTACAGCATTTGAATGGAGATTTACAAGCTTATTATTGATTATACGATTACATGAAAATATATAACCTAACATATTGCTAACTCTCTCGCAAACATACCGATAAAACATTATTGTAAGATAAATTTCAAAATTTCACGTTATATGATACGAAAATATATTTTAATTAACTAGGTAAAAGTGCGTGGAATATATCACAAAATCTATAACACATGAAAGTAATTTTCTATTTTTACTATCACTTCATATTTTTATCAAAAGTATACTAACATAGGTCATTACTTTCTTGGTTTCTTCAATTCGTAGAATCAAGAGTGTGTTGTAATCGCGCAAAATATTGAAGCTAATAGAATTCAACTATTAAAAAGCTGCTAGTAACCCCTTCGGGTGGCGCAAGGGCAGAGAGCAAGCTTTGTGCGAGGGGGCTCCGCGTTCGATTCCTGGTCGGGGTAAAAATTAAGTTGTAAATAGAATACAAGTGAACGAAAAGAGTAAAGACTTTCAGGAGAACGAGTCATAAAGTTGAAACTGGAGAAATTAGTACAAAAAAGGAGAGGGAGAAGAAGAGAACGAAGAAGAAATAGGCGGAAAGAGTAAAATCATTCCAGAGACTATACATAAAACGAATACTATTTACTGTCCCGGAAATAACTTATTTTTCTAGGAGAAAATTATTTTCAATGAAAGTACGCGTACAAAGAACAATGTTTTTAATAACTTCTCGTTTTGATTGATTAAGTTAAGAATTATAATTCCACTTTCATTTGGCGATTGAGAGTGAGTAATCCCTGATAACTGAGGACCGGAATGACATGCACTAATAAGTTATGAAATTTTTATGAATTTATGCAGTAAAAATTTTAAAAAATCAAATCAAATCCAATAATTAAGTAAATAGTGTAATAAATTAAAATAACCAACTGTTTCTAATAACTTTACGTGCAGAACATTCACTGACACATTGAAGGCACCATTCAAAAGTAATATCAGACCCCTCAAAGGAATACTACTAACAGTAGGCAATAAGAACCGCATACGAGCAAAATTGCCTCAAGATTCCCTTCGTAGCTATCTTTACGTCATAAAAAGGTAAAGTCCTTTCTTTTTTGCATCTCTTTTCCTTTAAATTTCTTTTTTAGGGGGAAGCCCTCTCAGCTACTTATGTGAGTTGAAGTCACGTGTTGGTTCACCTATATTTCCAATTTTCAAAGCGGATACGATGGCTCGTAATACTTGTAGCTATCGTATTTTCCTTGATAAATATTAATCGCAATTCATAAACAGGAAATTGGTTTTAGCTCTATACTGTGAATTCGTATATTGAAGCATACATTCCAAAATTAAAAATTAAAATTATTAAAATATACACAGTAAATAAATATGAGTAACGATAAACGTTTTCAAGCAAAATATGTAGAACAATTAGCAATTTACAGAAATATGATGCCTATGAAGAAAATACGCAAAGTGTGCAAGATGTACATTATAAAATCATGTGAATATAATTGGAAATTGGGTGTTACATGAACATATCAACTGAGCATATTTCCTGGGTTCAGAAAAATAATTCTCATTGGCGTTGAAATCCGTTCTCTACTGACAACATTGGATAAATACTAATAAGTGACTTTTTCCTGTAACTTGGCCAATCATAAAGTTTATACAAAAAGTATATTGTCGTAATGTGCACAATACATGACGTACACTATACATAACGTACACAACATGGAATTGAGCCATAATTAATTAACTTCCACAGAGTACTAATATTATTTTGATTCACTTAACCCTACAGTCTAACAATTGGTAAACAGTATCAAAATAAATAACAATATGCGTTTTATTATGAATGGCACCTGAAGATAATGTTGTTGAGCATTGACATTGATACAGAATGAGATCACCTGCTTCGAAAGTAGGAAGAAAACAAATTGGGTGAAGGGGACTGAGTGTTTCAGGAAGCGTTATGGACCATGGGAAAGAAATCTGCTGACCCTCGTCAACATCGAAATACCGGTCGACCCAACGTTGCATTATCCAGAGTACTCAAACCGTATATTGACCAGCTAATTCTGTAGCGGTCGAGGAAAACCTCACAAGTAGCAAATGGTGTGCTCAAGATTTGAACCCGGCTCTTCACTCTAGGCCTTAAGTTCAGATCCATTTATTTTATCACGACACTTCTAAAATGTCGAATGCATTGCGGATGAGGGCTGGTTTCAACAGGTT